GAGGAGGACTCCCAGAGGAGAACGCTCAGAGGAGGACGCTCAGAGGAGGATGCTCAGAGGAGGACTCCCAGAGGAGGACGCTCAGAGGAGGACTCCCAGAGGAGGACTCCCAGAGGAGGACGCTCAGAGGAGGACTCTTAGAGGAGGACTCCCAGAGGAGGACTCCCAGAGGAGGATGCTCAGAGGAGGATGCTCAGAGGAGGATGCTCAGAGGAGGATGCTCAGAGGAGGACTCCCAGAGGAGGATGCTCAGAGGAGGACTCCCAGAGGAGGACTCCCAGAGGAGCACGCTCAGAAGCGAGGAGCTCCAAGGCGCAGTGTCTACATACTTCTCATCATAGAAGATAATATTTACTGGAATGGGCTCCAGGCCATGGGAACAGATGTTTTATTCTTCTATGTGGTTTCTGTTTTCTTTTCCTTGTGTCTCATGTGTCGGTTTCTCTGTCTCTGGGAGGGTGAGGGGGACACAGAAATGGGGGGACAGAGGGGGAAACCAAGGCAGCAGTGGTCCTCACTGGACACCAGGTGGAGAATGAACTCTACCACTGGTGGGTGGGGATGGGAGGGAAAACTTGGGGGGATCAAGGGAATGGGGGACAGGGTCCACAGAGCAATGCACTCACGACCTGAGTGATGTCACTGTCACCTCTCTGCCCGTCACCTTTATCATCACAATAAAAAAACAACAATAAAAACGTGGAGACAGAGGGTAGGGCTGGGGTTTGGTCGATTTCCCGCCCTCTTTGCTGACCGCCTCACAATCCCTCTTTTCTCGCAGTGGCCCTGAATTTCCAGACACCGGGTCTGCCCATGGACTTGCAAAATGGGAAATTTCTGGATAACGGTGGCTCTGGGTATCTCCTCAAGCCACTCTTCCTGAGAGATCATAAATCGGACTTTAACCCAATGAATGCCACCGACTGTGAGCCGATCACACTTTCAATAAGGGTAAGAGGAATGAGGTTTTACCTTTTTGTTTGTTGGGTTATCATTTTAAATTAGCATACATGAATATTTTGAATTCTATCGATTTTTTTTTTGGTCAATCGTGGGACTTGAACTTGGGGCCTGGGTGCTGTCCCTGAGCTCTTTCACTCAAGGCTGGCGCTCTACCACTTGATTCACAACTCCACTTCTGGATTTTCTGGTGGTTCATGGGAAATCAGCCCAGGCTGGCTTTGAACCCCAATCCTCCGACCTCAGCCTCCTGAGTAGCTGGGATGACAGGTGTGAGCCACCGGTGCCTGGCTTGGTTTGCTTTTACCTTTTACATTGGTTAAAATCTTTTTCAGACACTGCACATGGGTGATATTTTCACAGCATTTCCATAGCTGAAATAAAAAAAGGTCCTTCTGTTGCATTATTTTTTAAAAAGAATTATTTCCATTCGGCGAATGGAAATTTTGAGGTTACAACCTTTTTTTTTTTCTTCTCTCAAAGATCTATTTATACTATTGGATTGTGGGTTAGCATTTTGTATTTCAATAGCAAGGTCTAAGTTCAGCCTATTAGTGATTTTGTGGCTACAGTCCCTTTTCTTCCTTCAATTTAAAGGGTTTTACTAGGTAGCTCAAGGAGCAATTTTCTTTTCATTAATTGCCAGCATCAGGCTTTTGAGATCTAGGATCCATTCCGTCTCTCCTTGTGTCTATGAACATTATTTGATTGCTTAGAAAGGGTGTATGTGTGTGTGTGTGTGTGTGTGTGTGTGTGTGTGTATATATCTATATCTATATCTATATATAATCATAGATTCATTGCTTTGCTCTGATTCTGTCCTGAGCATCTAATAATTTGCAGTAATCTTGTTTCTGATTTGCTCTGGGTTTTGGGAGCGCTTGAATGTTTTTCTCTAAATTGCTGATTCAAAATCTGTGTCGGAGCCTTTCTCCATCTTAATGGAGACGTTCATTTTCCAAGTTGCTGTTCGTTTGTCAATTGTTCTGTTTCCCTCCGCCATGTGTATTGACTTTACTTTTTTTTGTTTTGTGTTGGTTGGTCATGGGGCTTGAACTCTGGGCCTGGGCGTTGTCCCTCAGCTCTTCAGCTCAAGCCAAGCGCTCTACCACTTGAGCCACAGCGCCACTTCCTGTTTTCTGGTGGTTCATGGGAGATCAGAGTCTCACGGACTTTTCTGCTGGGGCTGGTTTTGAACCGCAATCCTCAGATCGCAGCCTCCTGAGTAGCTGGGATGACAGGTGTGAGCCACTGACTCCCAGCTGAATTTACTTTTTGATGGTGCTGGAATATTGAACATTCTGGATAGGTGCTCTATCATTTGAACCATCCCTTCACCCCCACCCCAACCCTTTATGCATTAGATATTTTTCAGATGGGGCCTTTTGCTTTATTATTTATTTATATTTTTTTCAGTGCTGATCTTGGACAATGATCATCCTACCTTCAACATTTCTGTAGCTGGGATTATGGACGTGTGCTGCTATGCCTGGCTTGGTATGTGTGTGTGTGTGTGTGTGTGTGTGTGAGAGAGAGAGAGAGAGAGAGAGAGGGGGGAGAGAGAGAGGAAGAGAGAGGGGGGGGAGAGAATCTTACTAACTTTATTTC